AATATATTAATATAATAATTAAATATATAATAATAATAATATAGATTAATAAAAATAGTATTTTATATAAATATGTTTATTTGATTTAATTAATATTTTTTTTTTTTTTATTGATAGCTCTTACTATTTACATTTAATTTTGTATATATTATATATTTATATTTATGGAAAAGCATGAAAGGGAATATAAATCAAATTTAATTAGTAGAATATATAATTATTTTTTATATTATATTTTACGCATGAAAAAAGCATGATATAATAAGTTTATCGATTAATTAATGTACACTCAATAATGTTTATTTTCAAATTTTCATTAAAAAAAAAAAAAAAAAAATGATCTCTGTTATAGAATGATGATCAATTGAATAACTTGTTTTAAAATTTGTATTGCTTTTTTTTAAATGCTATTATTATATAAATAACTTAATATTGAAGATTTAGTTAACGCGCAACACAGGCGCTTTTATTCATTTAAAGACGACGTTGTGTTGGCTCTGACAACGACCGGTACAGTCAAGGTGTGGACACTTTTGGGACACGAAAATCGTAACAGTGAACCTCTTTATGAACACGAGAGCAAACAAATACGATGTTTGAATGCTCTTGCTATGATCTGCTGTCCTTACAATCAACGTACAGTTCTTATTGTATGCTCTAAATATTGGCAGGTTTGTTCTTCATTTTATAATCACAATTATAAATGTTAATGTAAATGTAAATGTAATATAAAGATATATATATATATATATTTTTTTTTTTTCAGATATTCGATGCTGGTGATTTTTCGGTCTTATGTTCCATAACAGCACCTCGAGGTGAACGTTGGATGGCTGGTGACTTTCTAGCAGCAGATCGTGTTATTTTATGGAGTGACGAGGGTCATGGCTACCTTTACAAATTACCAGCTAAGTATGTTCCTTCAAAGTATACGTTTGTTTGTTTGTTTTAATTGCTTTAGATTGAGATCTTGACAAAACCTTATCAAAATGATTTGACGTTTTATCCATCTTGATTTATTTATTCATTAATGATGAATATAATTGATAATATACAAATGTTTCTAATTTCTAATTTATTTCAGCAATGAAATTTCTTGATTATACTACTCTTCTTTTGCACCATTTTAATAAATAATTGAAAAATTACTTATAAACATTGATAGAATGAATACAAATATAACGTTTATACTATAACTACACGATCTAACTAATATCCAATTATATTATTATACATCTAAGTAAATTAGAATGCCTGTTATTTTATATCCAGTATGTTTAATCCTTAAGCTTATCTTTATGAATTTATTTCAAAATATCTTCTTTCCTTAATTTTCAAATTGGACCTGGGATATATTGCTCTCGTAGAAAGAAGCACCTGCTGGCAATGCACAAATTCAATATTTTATTTTCCCAATTTGTTGTTTCTACCATTTGTCATACATAACAACGTATTTTAGATAAATAATTATATTTAATGTCTGAGAGAATAATTATTTTCTTTTTTTTTTTTTTTTTTTTTTTAAACAGTCACAATTATCGAATAATTATTATTATATGTTTAATAATATTATAATCCCGCGTTATTAACAAAATTATTAACAAAACAAAATTCAATATTGATTTATTTCCTAACGCCATCCAATATAAACACATAATATAATCATTGAATAATCTTTTTTTTATTAAATTAATAATGATTCTTTTCATTTCTATTTACCCCCCACCACCCCACCCCCCACCCCCAATTAATCTTAATCGTCATCGTCAAGATTTCTTTGATCATATATGAATACTTGAATATTTAATTGCCATCCCTTCATAAACAATTCACATGCCAATTAACACAATGATCTGTTTTACGGTGATGTGTCTTTTCTACATAACATACATCTACTGCACTCCATGGGTGGTCTGGTCTTCTAGCAAGCTGAAGGGCAAGGCTCTCAGCAGGTAACCTCCTGTATAATCACTTTACAACGTCTCTTTTTCTTATTATAGTCCTATCTTGATTATCTATCTTAATCTTATATTGGTTTTTGATCATTTCTTTTCATATGGTTATTATCATAGTTATATTATCCTTCCATCTATTCCTTTTATTCTGATTTAATTCTTATTTTTTTTTGTTTGTTTTTTTTTTGTTTTTATTTTTAGTTTATCTCCTCCTCTTCTTCTTCTTCTTCTTCTTTTTCTTTTTCTACCTTTTTCAAACTTTCTGCTGCTCATAGACTTAAACTATTGTCTTTTTCTTTTCTTCTAATCACATTTTATATGCATCTTCCATTTCATCATTATTCATTGATGAAATATGATTAATTGGAAGTAATATTATAAATAGATATATTGTTTTATAAATTTGGAAAATAATTATTATTATATTTTAATTCTATATATTTGTTTTATTATATTATATTTTTATTTGATTTATTTTATGAAGTATAATTACACCCACTCTACTATTCTTACAGTATTTCATTCACTGTAATATTACTATGTTATGTATTTGCTTGAAACTGCTTCGCATGCACCATTAATGCACACTTTTATTATATTTTTTTCTTCTTCAATGACAAATATAAAAATATGATTAAATGATATACATGTGAAAATGAATGTTACATACACAACAGTATATATCTAATGCTGCTTATAAATATTATAAAACATTACTTATGGATTACTTATTAATACTTGTTAAGAGTTGAACAATATATTATGAAATATGATATAAATAGTCATAAGTAATGTGTAAATTGAATATATATATACATATATATATTTGTTAATTTTTATTTTGTATTTTACAATCTTAGTAGCGTAGCAGATAACAAAAATTTTCATACTGCGGGAACAGAGCATGATCAACCATATCTTTATTGTATTCTAACTCAACCAGGAGATAGGGTAAGAAATTATTAAATGGGATCATATTTCATTATCTATATTCTATTCATATATAATTGTTTTATTTTTATTTTATATTAGCCACTGTCATGCCCACCTGCAATGAGATTGGTTACAGTTCAAAGGCAAAATAAAACATTGAAGTATTTACTTCGTGGGGATAGCGAAGGAGTCGTTGTACTTTGGAAAGTACCTGAATTAACAGCTCAACAATTGGTACAGATATCTCAGAACGATGGTTCCACTACACCAACATTATCACCGACAGTTAAAACTAGCTTAACAGCTGCTTGGGAAGCAATGAAACCACCTCCCGTTGGTATCCTTGATCAATTGGATACGGGAGATAAGAATGGTATTAAGTTGACTGCTAGTATATATCTACCACAACAAAGTCGTTTAGTTGTTGGTCGTGAAGATGGTAGTATTATTATTGTACCAGCCACACAAACAGTCATGTTACAATTACTTCATGGCAATCATCAACAATTTGATGGTATAATAATCTATATTTATTTTGTATATATTTTATATATTTATAAATATAAATATTTGAAAGAAATATTTTACAGATTGGCCACCACATCAGGTATTATTAGGTCATTCAGGAAGAGTTAATTGTCTCTTGTATCCACATGGAGCAGCACCACGTTACGATCGTACACATCTTGTTTCTGGTTCCGTAGATTTTGCTGTTTGTCTTTGGGATTTATATGCTGGTACATTGATTCATAGATTTTGTGTACATGCTGGTGAAATAACACAATTGTTGGTTCCTCCCGATAATTGCAGCGTATGTTTTTACTTTTCTAATACATTTTATATTTCAATTATATATGGTGTTATTCATAATCACATTTATTTATTACAGCCTAGAATACAAAAGTGTATATGCAGTGTGGCATCCGATCACAGTGTGACTTTATTATCATTAGCGGAAAGAAAATGTGTTGTTCTAGCTTCTCGACATCTTTTTCCAGTAGTTACTATAAAATGGAGACCATTGGATGATTTTATGATTGTTGGATGTTCGGATGGTGCTGTGTATGTTTGGCAAATGGAAACTGGCCACTTGGATAGAGTATTACATGGTAAATATTATAGCAACACACTTAGGATTATTTCTTAAAAACAACATTCTATGAATTATTTTCACATTGCAGGTATAATTGCTGAAGAAGTATTGTTCGCCTGTGACGAGAATACAATAACAGCGGCTGGTGGAACTGCTGCTGGCGGTGAACTAGGATTAGCTAATCCGGCAGTACATTTCTTTAGGTAAATGAAATCTTGCAGCACGGATGGTGAGAACCTCATGTGATTTAAGAAATATAAACATTTTCAAATGAATTTAATCCTACTATTATGATCATTGTTATTTTATTTCTATATAGAGGTTTAAGACATCGAAATTTATCAGCAATAAGACACGCGACGCAAAGAGGTTTGCATCAATTACAGCAACTTCATGGTGGCCATGGTACAGATCATGGTAATCAAATAAAAGCTAAGGGATCGCCATTGATGATACAAGGTTTTAGAAGCAATCCCAAGGATCCTGAAAGTCACATATTATTTTTTGATATTGAAGCACTTATAGGTACGTTCAAATTATCCAATGTATATGTGTGTTTGTGTATGTGTGTATGTGCAAAGTTAATAATTCAATGAATAATGAAACTTTTGCTATCATATTTTTAGTGCAATTGTTGAGCGACGAGTATGGCACAATGTCACCAGGATCATTAGAAGCTCAAGGATTAATTTCAGCATCGGAATATCAAAAGGTTGCAGCCCTGACGCAATCGGCTAGTCCAGATGCTCATAAAAAAATAGCAGGTATTTTATTTGTTACATAACTTTATGATCATAACATATTAAATTTTTCTCTCTATTATTACTCTTTTGATCCTTATTAAATAAAACTTAGGTACTTCACCTCGTATATCTTTGTAGATTTTTTCGTTCGTGTCAAGGATAAGGCAGGTGACGTTGAACGAATTTTAAAGGAGAAGGACCGTCACGGTATCGTCCTTAATATTGTTTTTGTCTTTTCAAATTGTGCTTTCTGTTTATCCACATTATATATATATATATATAGACATGAAATATCCTTCTTTTGTCACACATATTCAAACTATTGTTCTCACATTAGAAGTGTGCAAGAGGAACAACAATGTCGTAGATAATGATCTACTTAGAACGGCTATTCAATATGCCATTCATGATATTCCTTTTTTTTTTTTTTTTTTTACAAATATTTTTATCTTTCTAATAGACAATGTATGAGAAATTGTGTGTTACGTGCATATAATGTTTCGTTCAGGAGTGGCATTGTGTTGCATGTTGTATGAATGTGAAATTCATGAATATTCTACAATTCATTTTCCTATTTCACTCATTAATAATACCAGTTTAAACCAGTTTCAATAGAAGTTCTTCGAACTTATTTATTCAAATATGTTTCTCCTTAACTTTCATAAAATATTATTATTTTAAAAGTTGTGTGTGCGTGTGCTTGTATGATTAGATTATGACACCTAATAAAATAATAGATAGATAGATAGATAGAATTAATTAATTCATCATCGTAGTTAAAAATAGATCAATCCAAGTAGTAGGTGGTTCGTTTTTACATCATCATTTTCAAAAGTAATAAATCTAAAGGAGTTTATTTCTATAGGTATATTGGCTAAGATGAAGGAAGGGGCGGAGAATGTGCACACTAAATTACAAGCTAAGGCAGAAAGTGTAGGCCTCAAGCCATCCACTCTTGATGGCAAAGGTTAGCCAAAATAATAAAAAACAAAAAATAAAGGTGGCTTATTATGTCACTCATGTTATTGTGCATGGGTAATTTCCGCCTTTAGAGTTGACTATTTGCTTTATTATGATTTTCTTTTTTATGTATGTAGTGACAACGCATTACTTGTTTCTATTTTTAAAAACAAAACAAAAATACAATATAATAGGATTCGATAATGTATTCGCTAATTATATTTTAGCTAGCTCGCACGTGTGATATATATATATATATATATATATATATAATTTATATTTTATGCACGCAATAATATATCAATAATTATTATCACAGAGTGTTCTTCATGGTAAGTTAATAAACAATACGAACAAAACAATATAAAATAAAAATAACAATATAAAATGCAGATTAGTTTACATGTTTCATATTAGTTGATGTGTTTACCGAGCTTATTATTATTTGCTTATTACAAATAATAGATGAACAAGAATAAAATTCATTAATATTACTCAATCACATAATCATTTGTGTATGTCCTATAGTTTGAACTAATTACTTATCAAAAGTTACAAGAGCAACATATATTTCGTTGTGCACACTATGAGTGCATTTTCTCTCTCTTTCTCTCTCTCTCTTTCTCTCTCTCTCTCTCTTTCTTTCTTTCTTTCTTTCTTTCTCTATCTCACATAGCTTTTTAATTTGATTTATTTCTTACATTCACATGTGTGTTATACAATTATATTACACAACATTATTTATTAAGAAATTATTTATTTATTTTGTGCTTTACAGCATTAAAGATATATATTAGGATATATTTCTTCATGTATTTTTTTTTTATTTGATTCGTCAAAGTAACATATTTTACAGCAATATATAGTTAGACATGCCTTAAAACTTGACACGGTATGGGCGACCACTAAGCACGCATTCATCGAGTCGACGCACATTTTTCTATATCTTTTACAAATTACATTATAATTTTCAATTAACGCGTTATCTTATGTTACACAGGTGATAATTGGAACAGCAATGATGCCTCCTCAAAAAACAATCTCAAAAGGAATGGTGCATTTAGTGAGCCAAATGCAACGATGGAAGTTGCACAATTACTTCTAAGTCTTTTACACGCATGGGGAATGGATCCAGACTTGGATAGAGTTTGCGAAGGAAAATTAGGTTTACTGAGACCTATGGTACCAGTTTCATTTGGTGTTCTATCTAAAGGAGGTACGAACGATGATATTCTGTTAATTTTATAAACAGGAATACACAGTGTTTTTAAATGAATGTTTTTTTTTTACAGGCTATATGTCGTTGTTACTTCCAACTTGGCAAACTCATTTGGAACCTGCTAGTGAGCCTGCAACGCAATTGGAACAAAGATTACCTGTTGAATTAGTAAGGCAAGAGAGACTTACTAGGGCCTTTACCGCAAGAGCCCATTGGGAATTATCAACAACCATAACTAGTAATCATTTATTGGCTGTGGTAGCATTAGCCAATACTTTAATGTCCATGAATAATGCAACCTTCGTACCTGAACAGGAACGTAATCGAAAAATGCATAGGTACTCTATTACATATATCTATAATCTTAATGAAATAATAGAAAATTATTATTATTATTCATATTTTGATATTATTCCTAGACCTGGTAATAGAGCAACAGTCAATTGGAATAAAGCTGAAGAGGAAAATGAAGAAATTTATACAATCCAACAAGCACAAATTAAACAGGGTTGGTCTCTTTTAGCTACGTTACATTGCGTACTTTTACCTGACAAGGTAACTGCACAAGGTGGAGCAAAAACATTTAAACGGCCGCAAGTAGAAATGATGGCACGCAGATGGCAACATCAATGTTTAGAGGTTCGTGTATTTCATTGAATTTTCTTATTTTTTTTTAAATTAATTTATTGTAATCACATTTTTAGATACGTGAAGCTGCACAAGCTTTATTACTGGCTGAGTTAGGTAGAATGGGTCCAAAAGGTAGAAAAGCTCTAGTCGACAATTGGTCACAGTATTTGCCAATGTACAGTACCCAGGAACCAATTGCACCTCAAATTCAAAACCAAACTCCACCGACGTCAGGTAGTCCAGTTCCGATGAACGAAACTCAAGGAGACGACGAGGACGAAGAAGAAGAATTAGCTGAAGGTGATTAATTATAATAAATGTTATCTATTTTTTTTTTCTTCTTTGTAATCCATAATATTATAATGATCAATATTTGAATAACTTTAGAAGTAAGCGTAGCTAGGAAACCATCAAGCGTAGCAGAATTGAAACGTAAACAGACGACAGCAGTTGTATTATTGGGCGTAATTGGTGCTGAATTTGGTCAAGATGTTACCATGACTAACCAAAGAAGAGATAGCGAGCAAAGGCGGAAAAGTTCAATCGTCGAAGGTTTTGGAATTGGAAATAATAATCTTGCTAGACACACCAGTATGGCTTTGACGCATCTGTTACTTGCACCACACTCTCCTAAATTACCTTTGCATACCCCTCTACGAAGAGCTGCTATTGATCTCATTGGTAGAGGTTTTACCGTGTGGGAACCATATTTGGATGTGTCCAAGGTCTCAGAAGAATGAACAAAAATAAAAGTTTACTTTTGATTACATTTTAATGATCATTAAATGAAAATTTGATTACAGGTACTTTTAGGGCTCCTTGAAATGTGTTGCGATGCAGATAAATTGGTACCAAGTATGACGTATGGTCTTCCTTTAACTCCTCAAGCTGATACATGTCGTACAGCACGTCATGCTTTAACTTTGATAGCTACCGCAAGACCAGCAGCATTCATAACAACGATGGCACGAGAAGTAGCCAGATTTAACACTGTGCAACAAAATGCACAAACTTTAAATGTCAATCTAGGAGCAAGTGTATTGATTAGGGCAAAGCCTGAGATACTCAGAATAGTAGAACAATTAATCGACAAGATGCAAAGTGAAATGAGCGATTTGTTGGTCGAAGTATGATCAATTTTCAATGTTATTTTTTAATGTCTCATATTAATTGCAGTTATTTTTTGACTAGGATATTATTATTCATATATTTTTAGGTCATGGATATAATATTACATTGCTTAGATCCTGGTCATTTGAAAGCAAAATCATTGTCCGAAGTATTTCCAGCCGTTTGCAGATTTAATCAAGTTAATATTATACATTTTTGATTTTATTATGAAAAGTTGTTCATTTTGATAATTCAAAATGTCGTACTTTTTAGGTCAGTCATTGTACGGCAACACGCAGGATAGCTGTAGGCGGTCGGGGTGGACAATTAGCGCTTTATGAACTTCGAGGTAACGTCAAATGTCAAACGGTACCTGCACATCAAGGTCCTGTAACTGCATTAGCATTTTCACCGGAGGGTAAATTTCTGGTTAGCTATTCTTGTTCTGAGAATAAACTTTGTTTCTGGCAAGTAAGTAAACAAATAAATCAATACATAAATAGAACAAATATATTCTATTGGGTTGTAACATATAAACAACAACAAAATAATATATGAAATATAGAAACGAACGTAGTTTTGTTATACAAGTAATATTCTTATAACACGGTATATAGGTTCCTAGAAAATGCCGTGTTGTATGAGACCCAGAGCCAGTACAAAAAGAGGGGGGTTACAAAAGGGAGTTAGAAATACTTTCCGCAACACTGTATCTTTAAAACGGCAAGCCTCGCTGCGACTGTAAAAGTACAGTGTTGTTGTACAAAGGTTTTTTTTTTACATATTATAGTTATTTAATTATTACAGTTTATTTTGCCTTTGACTATGCTTTCAATTATTCAACATAAAAAATATTATACCTGTAAAATTACCCAAAAAGAAAAAGAAACTTTTGGGCCAACCTAAAATATATATTTTTAAAAGGAAACCGTGTTATAGGATGTCGTATTGTAGAAGGGTCTTCGTAATTTATAAATTTTGTTATAGCAAAACCCTGTTATAAGATGCAATGTTGTAGGAAGGTTACTACCTGTATTTTTAAACGAATGTATGTTACAGCCCAATTATTTGAACAATTATATCACAAACTCAGTAAAACAATGATCATAAAAAATATGTAAAAGATTATTAAGAAAGAACATTTATTTTTTTTAGCAAACAAGTAGTGGTATGTTCGGCTTGGGTAATTCACAAATTCGTTGCGTTAAATCGTACAGTACCGCACCCATAAATGATGTAACACGATTGAATCCTATGCGTTTAGCTCGACTCGTATGGATTAATAATCGCACAGTTACATTGATGTTAGCTGATGGTTCAGAGACACGTTTCAACGTTTAAAATTTTTATTTAGTAGAATTATTATTCTTTCATCTAATCGTGCATTATCATCATTATTGTGATCATCATCATCATTATCATCATTTGACAAGCATAAAATGGTATCAAGAAGTTAGTTGATTAACGATCTGTATTAAACAGAGAGAAGAAAGAAAGAAAGAAAGAAAGAAAGAAAGAAAGGAAGAAAGAAACGAAAGAAAATGTTGAAAAGAGTGCCATTGCGGTTGTAAATGCGCTTGGTACTTAATAGAGCTATTAAATATTATACAGAATGAAACATGAACGAGAGATAGAACAATGTGAATTTGAAATATTTCACAGTAGCAGCAGCAGCAGCAGCAGCAGCAGTAGCAGGATGACGATAGTTATCGTTAAAGATTTCTTGATAAAATCGATAAACGACATTGACGATTTTGTTTCTTTGTTTTTTTTTTTTTTTTAGTTTTTAGTCTTTAGTTTTTAGTCTTGTTGCTTTATACAATTTAATCGAGTTGTCTTAATTATTTTATTTTTTTTTTTTTTTCGTTGAAACTTCACACGATGACGTTTTATTCGATATAATCGTATTACGTGTATGTACAAACGCCTAGAGAATTTTGTTGTTGTTATTGTTCCGGGAG